AACTGATGCACAGCATATTAGCAGCAGCTAAAATAGCTCAGGAAGCACAATAGCTATTAAATTTACTTGAAGATCTAGGGCTAAAACAAAATCTACTGATTACTCTCTATGGAGATAACAAGTAATGCATCAAACTTTCCCAAACATAGAAAAATAGCTCCAAAACAAAACATATAAACGTCAAATACCAACAAAATGGCATCCTAGGCTACTGCAGAAACTGCGACATGATCATAGACCTGCTCTCCAAACCACTAGGCAAGAAAATGGTGATGTTGTCCATCAAGTAGGGGTATTGGTATGCAGTGATGAACAGTGGCCAATAGCACCATAAACAATGTAATCTAAGTGTAGCCTTTTCCTTCTCACTACTTCATGAAAGGACAGTGTTAAAACTCTCTCTTGATATATGTTTGGAAAACTAATGAATCTTAATCTATTATTATGAAAAAATAAATGTTTTTGTAACCAATTTTTGTCTACCTCTTTTTCGATATTTTCACTTACTAAACTAAGATGACGCTGGACAGGATACAAAGTAAGAGAAATTATTCTATTCTTCAGTAATTTGTTATAAAAATATTTACAACACAACAATGGTGGCTTTCAATTACATTCATTTTTCCATATTACTGTAAAAGTTTCATTACAGTAGGTAAAAAAATAGTGATTTTTATTTAATTTATCTTACTATACATAATATATATATATATATATAATTATCATTTTTGAATTTTTACTTCTGCAAAATTTGACTTTTTAATACAAAATTACATATTCTAGCTCACTATCCATGACTTTGCTTTCTTGTGGGCATTAAATGCAACCACAAAAACTATTCTAGATTTCTACAAAAAAGACAAGTTTTTATTTTGACTAAAGGAGAGTAGGGTCAGTTTCTCTTTTAATTATTTCAACACCGATTAGAGTAAATGCCTGTCTATATTATATCAATTTTTGGCTAATCTTCACCATAAAGTATCCCTTGGATTTTGTTTTAAAAAAATCGCTGATAGTTTTTCTTCATGAAATCTGGAAGCCCGCCGCGTGAAATAAGTTTTTTTTTGGTAACCCTAATGTTGATAATGTTGGCGAAGCTAGCTTTAGAGAATTTTTTTTATTTTTTTTTATTTTGTCATTAAATATCACCAAACATGTGGTTATTTCAGATTTTGGCTATTTTTGGTAAAAGTAATCCCCTTTTGTTATGGACCCAAGCTTTGGTTCTTGCCATTCTTTTCAACTGCTGTGTTTGGTTGCACGTACATGGTATAGCCTTTTATTTTGAACTGCTATTATTTTGCTGTGGGTACCACCATTTGAATATGTCTGAGGTGTGAATGTTGATGGGTTGGATTATGACGAAATTGTGAATTTGAGGTTTTTGTATGGATTGGATGATGGACGAAAGACGTTTGATTTTTGCATGAAAGCTGGTTTAATTGCTGATAGATATGAATGAGCCGAAATGATGAAAAATTTAATTGAATTGCTTACCTGGAGGATGGAGGAGATGGTGGTGGGAAGCCTAAACATATGCAAGTGAAAAAAAGGTACGTTAAAACTTTGATGTTTCATTTATTTATTCATTTCAATGTGTTAATTTTTGTTAGAAGATTTGTTGTTGTTTTCATGTTAGGAAATATGCATTTTCTTATTATTTATTACTCTCTGTTTGTGTATTTTTGGTTATTTGTTCGTTTCTGTGTAGTAAGACAGCAGCGAATTTTTTCTGGTTACCATGATAGTTTTAACTTTGTTTTAGGTTCCGGATTTTGTTTAAGTGAAAATAGATCAATGTGTACATGGACAAAGTTAAGGCAGTGTGCAATGCCTAGATTATGCAATTCTCTGATTTTTTTTTTTTAAGTTAAAATAGGCTGATGTGTACATGGACACCGAGTTTGTGTAAGTCTTTAACTTCTTATTTTGGTTTTGTGTAGCAGCCATCTTGAAATTGGTGCCAATCTTTTCTGGCGTCAAAAAAGAACTGATTTTCCAAGGGGTACCATAAATTTTTCCCCATTTTTACTTCCTTGTACAAAGTAAAAAGGAAGTATTGTAAGCGCGAAAAGTTTCAGGCAGAATATTTCAACAAAAATATCCATTTTGACCACTATTGAATGCAATTTAATGATGTTTTTGCATGACATCTGTACATAAAGACAGAATAAGACTCTTTTCCTCCAAAACAAACTATAAAACTGCTTTAAAATGAATTCTGAAGAGTATTTTTCGTGGCGTCTGTACGAACGTATGTACGTCGCATAACTCAAAAACGAGTAGCCTCAGAACGTTGAAATTTTGTATATAGGACTGGTGTAACATGCAGATGTGCACCTTGTATTTTGGTTGCAATTGGCCACACCAAACGTATATAAATATATTTATATATATATCCACTCTGTTACCCAGCTCAGTGATCTCAGTTTCTTTACTCTTATATGTTTGTAAATTTTTTGCTTTAAAAATGATTGAATTACGTTGTTCCTTTTTATGCCTTTAGTAAATCTGTATGCAATATTTTTAGAATTATCAACAATTTTAAAGTTGTTTAAGTGCCACTAAGCCTAATAATTTTTTTTTTGATGGCGGCCACTGCTTGTTTACATTTGAAACAGCAGAATAGTGGAATTGTTGCCAATCTAGAGAAACTTAGCTTTGCAACAACAAAGATAATGCCTTCATTTATTATTGCGAATTAAATCATGCTTAATCGTTTCTGGAATTTTTTCGAGGAAAAATAAGTGTTTTAAGATTTACTTCGTAATTTTTAATACAGATATTTTGAGTTTTTATGTATTTTTGCCTTGTCACGGTGTGAGAACTGAATTAATTGAATGAGAAATACTCATATCGTCTGTGAAAAACTGTTTCTTTTTTGTTTTGTTTGCTTAACTTCTTTTATACATCGTTCTAGGTTTCTTATAGTATTTGAATACAACATGTGGCAACGATTAGATAATTCTGTAAATGATATAAATTTTGTGCATGCTGAGTTATAATATGAAGAGAAAGCTCCCTGGTATGTGAGAAATGCGGATATTCAACACGACCTTAACGTAAAAGCCATGCACGAACAGATATTAATTTCATCTCATAATTTCTTCGTAAATTTAAGTAACTCAGGATACGCCTCCCTCCGAAGTTTGTGTGCCTACAACTGAAAGCGTGGTAAAACGACCCCGCACAATACACCATAACGCATCTTGGTAACTGTAAATATGTAAATGGTTCATTTTTCTTCGTATTTAATCAAGTATTTTCTATTCATGACCGTAAACTTTATGTTTAATTCCAAGATTTGAAGTGGAAGTTGTGCTACTTTTTTCGTTGACACACCCACATGGGTGTATCTACGAATAAATTTTTAACATGTCTTCATGTGATGTGACTTTTGAGTGACTGGAAATTCTATAAAATCGTATGAACTTTGTGTCTTTGACCAAAGTCTGATTGAACTTTGACGTTTCAGTGCATGATAAGGACATTACTGATTAATTGAACACAGACTTAAACTGTTTTCCTATCTTGTGACAAAGTGCTCTCATTTCAGAATGCTTCTCCTTAAATAACTCCGAATTAATATCTAGCAGAGACTGAATGGGACTCTGGCGCTAGGTAAAAGATTGCTTTACAACTTATGATCTATGGAAACTTTTGCTTCCTCACGACCAGTTTTCTCCAAACCTTAGTTTTTGAATGCATTCTACGCCTCTGGGTGATAGATGTACCAATAGTACATCTTTTGATACAAACGTGAAAGGCCTAAGGCATACTTGATCTATTGGAGATAACTCACAGTAGTTGGTACCAAATGCGAGTGAAAGTAAAGATTATAATATGAATGAAATATAATACTGTTAAGTGAACCTAGCGCCAGAGTGTCACTACCCCCCATCTTCGCGAACTGACGAGCTCCAGCAAAAGGTTTTTCAACATCAACAGGGTTGCCATACAACATGCAGTCATGCCATAAACCAGCGCAGAACACATATCAACACATTTGGTGAAATTAGGGCGTATATCAGAGTTGTACTAATAAAACTGACTGCTTCTACAGAAAATTTAATTCTATTTATAAATTGAAGTGAAACCTTTCCAGAGAAGAAAACCTTATTCCTTTGAGTGCACTCATGTGGAATACTGAATGGAAATGAATGTAATTAATAGCATGTAGAATTTCTGAGCAACATGCCAAATGTAATTTAAGATGACAAAAAAATTCCAAAGCTGGCAGTTTTCATACAACTATACACATGAAAGGTTAACTGTTACATATGGTAAATAAGCAATTGAAAAAAAAAAATGGAGCAGACTGGAATTTGCTGATATTAAATGTTTGTTAAGGATTAACATGTGATAACATAATCAGCCTCTTAACTTTTAATGAATAAACATTCACAAGAGAGATTTATTTGCACATGCTACAAGTGTATCTTTTTCGCCACATAGACAATACTCAAATAAACAATAGCATAACTGTCATGTTTTTGTAGTTGCAATGTGTGTCACTCCCTGAATTTTATGTTCTTGGGTTAGTAGAATGGGTCTTAATCTTTGGCTCACTAAGAACCATGGTTTATGCCAATAGACATTTTTATGTTGGCATATGTAAAAAACACTACATATTTCTGTAAAGCTTAATAACTCAAAACATCTTTGAGGAAGAACCATCACGGTTGTTGTTAAAATAACCCCTATTTTAACAAAGAATAAAGCTTTGATATTTGAAGGGTGACAAAATTCACTATGTGATTAAAAAAAATTCATTTTCATGTTTATTGTACAATATAATTTTTTATGCTACCTCAAATATTTCTTCTGATAAAACTTTATGAAATCAGGTCCCTTCTTTTCGATGACCTGGTACTTTCTAAATAACTTAACTTTTAGTGCTGCTACACATGAACAAATTATAATCAACTTAATACAAAATATACAATTCAATTAAAAGAAATTAGCACAACAAATTTTAACAATTCACAAATATTAAGTAAGAGACAGTGCTTACCATATTTATAAGTAGCTGACTTTCGACACTGACCACGGTGCTGAATAACAGTTTCGTCTGGAGAGGGAGGTGTTAATGGCAAACTGCTGTTTCGATAATTACTCCCATCCCCTGAAATAATAAGACTGCTATGAAATAACTCACACATTGAAGTTCAATTTTAAATACATGTTACAGTAGGTATATTTAGTGATGCAGTATTTTTTTGGAAATTTTCAGAGAATTTTAAAATTCAGCCAAATTTTTTCAAAAAGTTCACAATTAATAATCAAGAAATGCTTATTTAACATTTTCTTTAGATTATCAATAAAATATTTACAGCTAATTTTTTTACCATTACATATTTCTAGATAAGTATATATATATACATATATACAATGCACAATAAATAATATGTTTAAAATTTATCCCATACAGTCAAAAGTCGTTAATTCGGAAGTCGTTAAAAGTCGTTAATCCAGAAATATCTATAATCCGGACCTCAAAGCTACAAACTTTCTGCATATGCGTCAATGCATAATGCCTTCACACATGCGTATATGCGTTTAAGCATGCGCGTTTAATGTATAACAGACGGTATAAGCTAAGCTAAAATTTATCTAATTATCTATTTCAGTTAATGTTGCAGATTGTGTTGTTCCTTAACCTTCTAATTGGATCCGGCTTATTATTTTTTGCAGACTGTTAGAGCAATTTTATAAAAGTAAGCTTGAACTTTCGATTATGTCAAAAATAATTTCCGATTCTGGAGCTACCAAAGGATCTACAAAGCAGCATGTTCCGATGTCCATCAAAAAGTGGAATTGCTGCAAAAAATGGATAAAGGCATATCCTTTGATTCTCTAATCATTCCGAAATCTGTTTATCAATTTCACGCTGCTCTGCGGGGGGTGGACAACTCGGCGCGCAATAAACTGGAAGTTGATCTGTCAGCACTATCCTTATCTTCAGGGCAGATGTTTTCATTTTATTCGGCTTATAATTCCTTACTAAATGTAGTATTTCATATCGACGTACTCCGTCTTTGATATGATTTAAATCAAATTCCTCGTCATTATAAATATCACGAATACACATCCAATAGTTTTCTGGTTGCAATTTTCTAATTTTGACTATGCGTAATGTATGCTTTACGCATGCGTGCGTTGAAAGATGTTTAATAAAGTAAATAAATAAATATTAAGCTTTTTTTTGTAAATTTTGATACCCTTTAGATCATAATTGTTCTTTATTTCATAAATTACAGTTTCATATTTTTAATTTTATAATTTCTGCATGCCATCCTACCAGATTTAAACTGAAGATCTATAATCCGGAAAAATCGATAACCCGGAATCGCCGAAGTCCCGACGACTCCAGATTAAAGACTTTTGACTGTATTTAATTCAAAATAAACCATATGCAAAAAGCAAAAACCAGAGGCAGTGGCAAACTGCATGATAAAGGAGGCAAAACACACCAAAATATTAAATAAGTTGCTGCATCTACATCAGGGGGTTCATGAAACAGACGAAGTAAATAAATAAGATTGCATATAAACTAATAAAGACACATATATTAAGGTTTAAAACTTAAAATAATCTTAGAAAATCAATCAAAGTAATCTGTCTTTATCAGACCAACCTCTACAGGCTGAAGTAAACAGCATACAAAACTGTAAAATGATAGCACTGAAACAAATTTGGTTAAATTTATGGTAGCCCTCGGCGAATTGTCTTTTTTATGCCAAGATCGGCACCAGGAAGGATCGGCAGCAATTTCAAGATGGTGCCGATTCTTCCACCCATTACACAAAACCAAAACAAGAAGTCAAAGACTTACACAAACTTGGTGTTTGTGTACACATTGACCTAGTTTAGCTTAAAAATGTATCAGAGAATTGCACAAATAAGGCATTGCACACAGCCTTAACTTTGTCCACGTACGCATCGATCTATTTTCACTTAAACTCAAGATCAGAAAGCTAAACGAAAGTTAAAACTATCAAGTTAACCAGACAAAATTTGTTGCTGTCTTAACACTCAGAGACGAACAAATAACCAAAAATACACAAACAAAGAGTAATAAATAACAAAAATTACATATTTTCTGACATAAAAATCTTAAACAACAAATCTTTTAACAAAAATTAACACACAGAGAGGAATAAATAAATGAAACGTCAATTTTTTAACATACCTGTTTTCACATGCATACGTTCACACTTCCCAACACCATCTCCTCCATCCGCCACATAAGCAATTCAATTAAATTTTTCGTTGTTTCAGCTCATTCGCTGTTAAATAACATTTATCCTCTTACACACCTCAGACATACTCAAATGATAGTATCCACAGCAAAATAATAGCAAGCTCAAAATTCAAAACCACACTACTAACATGCAACTAAATACAGCAATTGAAAAGAATGGTAAGAAACAAACACCCGGATCCACATGAAAGGGTTACTATTATAAAAATTAGCCAAAATTTAAATTTTGTTTGTTGCCGAATTACACTTATACTAGAAATTACACTTATACTAGCCGAATTACACTTATACTAGAAATTTTATGGAACAAAACTGCTTAATCATGACAAATATTAACTGCAAAATTGGGAAAAAGTGCAGAATCGCAAACTCCTTGCCGCGTTTTTCAAAATCGCACATACACAGTAACCATGTACACGTCGACTTATTTTTACTTAAAAAAACATCCCAGAATTGCACAAAAAATGGCATTGCGCACACTCTTGACTTTATCTATCTAAACTGCTATTTTCTCAAAATTACAAAAATTTGCACGAAAATGCAGGAAAATTTTGTGAATCTTTAAACTCGGTAAAAAGCACATATATGAAATTACCTGATCGCGAAAAATTATATACCCTATCCAAGGATGAACATTTCCACGTATAATATAAATAAAATATCCGAAAACTTTTACCTCTAAATTATCTATTATAAACGTCACCAACGAATTCATAACAAAACATTAAAAATGGTTACAAATACTTAGTGTCAAATATTTAAATTATTTCCATGCATGTTTGCTTCCACTCAAACGTATACCAAATTGCTACAAACATATAATTCACACAATAACTATCATTTAATTAAAATATAATTAAACCATGTACACGTCAACTTATTTTTACTTAAAAAAAATCCCAGAATTGCACAAAAATGGCACTGCGCACACTCTCCACTATATCCATGTACACTGCTTTTTTCTCATAAATTAGAAAAATTTAACGAAAATGCATGAAAACTTTGTGAATCTTTAAATTCGGTAAAAAAGACATATGAAATTACCTGATCGCGAAAAAGTATATACCCTTTCCAAAGATGAACATTTGCACGTATAAAATAAATAAAATATCCAAAAACTTTTACCTCTAAATTATCTATTATAAACGTCACCAACGAATCTATAACAAAACATTAAAAATGGTTACAAATACTTAGTCTCAAATATTTAAATTATTTCCATGCATGTTTACTTCCACTGACACGTTTACCAAATTGCTACAAACATATAATTCACAAAATAACTATCATTTAATTAAAATATAATTAAACCATGTACACGTCGACTTATTTTTACTTAAAAAAAAATCCCAGAATTGCACAAAAATGGCATTGCGCACACTCTTCACTATATCCATGTACACTGCTTTTTTCTCATAAATTCGAAAAATTTCACGAAAATGCATGAAAATTTTGTGAATCTTTAAATCTGGTAAAAAGGACATATATGAAATTACCTGATCGCAAAAAAGTATATACCCTTTCCAAGGATGAACATTTGCACGTATAAAATAAATAAAATATCCAAAAACTTTTCCCTCTAAATTATCTATTATAAACCTCACCTACCAATTTCTAACGCAAACATTAAAAATGGTTCCAAATACTTAGTGTCAAATACTTAAATTCTTTCCAAGCACATTTACTTCTACTCAAACGTATTCCAAAATACTACAAACATATAACTCTCAAAATCACGATCATTAAATTAAAATATAATTAAATTAAAAAACACCACTTAAAATATAAATAAGCACATACATTAAATTAATAAAAATTAGCTTACAACCCTAATTACTTTAAACTAAATCATTGCTAATAACAATTTTCCAATAATACCAAATTAATTTATTTACTCCTTACATTTAGAACAAAGCATAAAAATAATATCCTCAAATAATTAAAAATACTAACTTACCTAATCTTCTAAAGAATCTTGAGTGCATGGCGGATCACAAAATGTCCATTTTCACCAGATTTCTTGCACCACCATTCAAACTTATCTAACACCATTCAAACTATCTGTAATATCCTTTCTTTCACACAATCTCATTTCATACCCACATGTTGGACACTCATACTTATCCGCAATTAAGCAATTCTTTTCAATTACACGTAAACGGAATAAAAATTTCGGATTTACTTTATATAGGGCCATGGGAATCCAAATATTAAACAATACTGTTTTCACAAGAACATAGACTGAAACTAATGCTGTACAGCAGATATTTTTTTTTAATTTACACCCTTTTCTTCCGATTAAAGAACAGTGATTCGTCCATTAATGTCACATGGACATATCTCATGATCTCTCATTTCCCTCACACAAAATAATGTGTAATCGGAACTGAGTACTTCTCTTACATTATTCCCAAAGTCCTAGGTAGTAACCTTTATCGGCGTCCAAAATGTCGCCAAACTACCTGTTACCATATTCCAAAGATCAGACTTTTTTTCTTTTAAATGATAGCATCAAAATCATTAACAAGCTTAAAAAAATCTAATAATAATTGCTTTCAATTTATGTGGACTGAGTTTAAAAAAATACATAACAGAAATCCAACAAAGAAAATTTGATCTAAAAAATAAAAAGGAGTTTGTTCCTAAAATATGTAACATTAGAGCAACATATACAGTCAAAAGTCGTTAATCTGGACTCATCGGGACTTCGGCGATTCCGGATTATTGATTTTTCCAGAATATAGATCATCAGTTTAAATCTGGTAAGATGGCATGCAGAAATTACAAAATTAAAAATATAAAACCGTAATTTATGAAATAAAGAACAATTATGATCTAAAGGGTATTGTTCGCGCCTGCGC